TCCCTTTGCCTTTTCTATAAATACTTTCATGCTAATTGCTGCTATGAGATTTCCTCTTTTACCTTGACTTTACAAATTAAGTGCAGTACTAGATTGTCAGCTAGGTCTCATAATTTTACAGTTGAAATGGCTAGATGTAACTGTAAGTTGTATGCTAACAGTTTCTTCTCTTCAACTTCTTGCTTGAGGAAATCTCTTCCAGCCTCTTGCTTTCCAGTCAACACAGATCTTCAAAAATTTAAATGAGGTTTCAATTGTTATCTTTTGTCTTCTTAATTCCTGTTCTTTTGTTGTTCTCTCTCCTTAATAATATTTCTTTTTTTTCTCATATTATTTGATTCAGTAGCTCCTTGCATCTTAATGGTTTTATTGCTTTGCTTGGGGATGAAATGATTTTAAAAGAATCATGACCTTGACCTAGCCTTGAACAGAAAAATAATAAAAATGGAGTCACAATTTTCTGTCCTTCTAAAAAAAAAAAAAAATTAAAATAATTTCAGCAATTTTATCAAAATACACATTCTATTAATTTCCAGGCAAAGTGAGATGACAATGTTTGACTTATTATGCAAGCTTCAAAAATGATATTTTTTAAAATTTTAGTTCTTAAAATATTATTCATAAATTTTTCTATTGTGTTCCCTAAAACTATTTAACTCCTCAATACATGTTTTGAGGAATTTTTTAAAAATCTCACTTCTTAAAAAAATGGAATGATGGTTAGCAATATACTACTTTATGTGCCATAACCTTTCAGGACATAGACGATCATGGCTCTCCACCTCTTCTCTATCCCTTGCAGCTCGCAACAAGTTCCTTCCCTCTGCTACCTCCCCCCAGACCACATTCTGTCATCCAGAATTGTTTTCCCTTGTTTCTTTCTCCCTATTCAACCTATGAGTATCAGATTCTCCAAGCCCTCCTTCCTCATTATGTGTTCCAGAAACTTCAGCTGCCTCTTCCTGATGTTAAGTATAAGCCTCCTCCTTGTTTGGGTCCTCTCCAAGACCTTATCGTTGCTCACACGCTTGATTCATGATATCCTTAGCATCCTTCTGTAGTTAATTTAATATTGGGTTGATGCATAATTATCAGACATTTTTGTTTTGTTTACTTTTTATTTTATTTTCAGGTTATAAAAATGCCTGTCAATAATCATACGCTCTGGAATAATCATTTAAAAATGTTATTGTTGAATTATGTTTTTTTCATAATAAATATTGTTTAAAAACGCCTGATAATTATGCACCAACCCAATACTATAAGATCAATCTTCACTGAGTGTCCCATACTTGTGACCTTGCATTGTACTAAGCTTAGAATAGTTAAAAGAGCTTGTCTCCTCTCCATTTCATATAAGCTTAAATGTCAAAGCAAAAATGTAATTTCATAAAGTCAGTTTTTAAAAAATCCTGATCACATTCTAATTGCATCATTTGGTAAGAAAGTGCTTTCAATTTTTGAAAGGTCAACAAAGTAAAAGGTTACTAAATAATACAATCAACTGAGAGCTAATGTCATCATAGGTACTAGCACTTTAGTGATGTGAAAAAAAAATATAAAGAAAAAATATTTACATAAATATCAGATTTTTTTTTGTCTGTCCAGATCACACTCAAAGCAAATAGAGATATAAAATTAACAAGTGAATTCTGTCCAGTTTCAAATGGCTGACCTAGATGTAAGCAGACACTTAAAATACCCATTGCACCAACTTTCTTTTGGTTGATGCTATAGTGAAAACTATGCAATATATATTAATTTAATACCAATTAATACATATTGTTGTTGTTCTAAACAGACACAGTCAGCCATTCTGTCTTCTTCATTCAGTCAATGGAACAGCTTTTTACTGTTACAACTTTCTGAAGAGTAATTTAGTTATAGGAGAATGGTTTGAAATTTTTCTGTCAATCATTTTGGCATGCAAACAATGATACTTTTGTCAAGATATCTATTGAAAATACAGACTCAGGGTGAAGTGCAACCATGCCTTTTCCCAAGGGTATAAATATTAAATTGCTCCAGTTAAAATTCAAACTCAGTTTGCAAATTTCCTTTCTCATACTGGTGCCCATTAAGACTATCATCAACTAATTCAGTAAAACACTTTGAAATTTTAAAATGAGTTCTATCAGAAATATTATATGTATACAAAAAAAAAAAAAATCCCAGAGTTTTATTATGGAGACAAAAAATCATTTTTTTTTGTGCGTAGTTTTAAAAAACTAATGAAAACAAAGCAAGCCCTTCCCACTTAGAAGAAGGGCAGAACATAATCTTCTAATTCTTCATTCCTCTTATATGGCCTCATGCCAGACTAGACTAAGCCTAGTAAATATCAAAAGATTCTTATAAAGAGAAGCTCTTAGTAATAATTTGAACACTTAAATATAAAATGAAATACTTCTTGTACAATTAATTTCTTGCTCCTTAGTAATGTTTCTGCTTTTTAATTTTTCCTCACCCAGTAACCCCTTATATTTAAGTGGCTTTACTGCTTTGCCAGGGATGAACTTGATTAAAAAATAGATTAAAAAAATCAAACATTTGCTGAAGAAATTAATCTTTATCTGAACCATTTCATCTCTTTATACTTAACAAGTGATTTAATTCTCCAACTCCACTAAACATCAATTGAAAACTACAAGCATATATTTACACCTTAAATTAAATAAATAAATATTTGCTCATCTATATATGTATGTTATATGTATGTTGCATATATAGTTGCTAATATCTCGCTATTTAGTTTATGCTCAAACTTGTGTATGTATGTATGTGCATATATATATATATATATATATATATATATATATAGTTTGGTTTGTTTTACAGCATGTCAATCTCAATGGGTTATTTAATGCTGGTAATATTTTTCCAAAAATGTATTGCTGGTAATATTTTTTTTTTTTTTTTTAAATGTATTGCTGATAATAACGTATTGCTGTTATTAAAACCTATTTTCACATGTTTTGACCCCAGTTTGGAGGTTAACTATTTGCCCATAGATGAGACCCCCTAACAGGTGTTTTCCATCCATGTCAGGATGCACCTTGGAAGACCAGCAGTTAAGAGGTGGTTCCATGCACGTGAAAACCTCCTGATCAGAGGCCTTGCTGCTGTGCTGCTGGATATAGTTGTCTTACCCAGGATGCTAAATATATATATATATATATATATATATATATATATATATATATGAAATAAAAAAGCTAGTTACTAATACTAGCAAATGGCATATATGTCAAATAATACAATTTAACATACATCAAATATTACAGAACTGCTGCCAAAAAAGTGCTCAGTAAAAGACTGGAGCAATTATTATTAAAATATAAGTAAAAATGTTCAATACTTATCAAATGTCATCAGTGCTTTTTAATATGTGAATCACTAATCAGGACCTTCAACAATTTGAACATTAGCAAATAAATATGAATTTATAAGATGATTTTCTTTAATCAGTGCAATCATTATTGTCAAATGTCCAGATGAACAATTAAAATATTACAAAATACTATGTTGACATTCAATAAATATTAAAAGTTTTTGCTATATATATATATATATATATATATATATATATATATATAGCACATTGAGTGCTGTTGTTAAAATAATGCTTTATATAATATAATATTATATATATATATATATATATATATATATATATATATATATATATATATATATATATATATATATATATTATTCCTCACTGACAGCATGACTCAAAGTTTTATGCAGACCATCATCTTCAATGCTGAGTAGAGACTGACCACTACATAATTTAAATTTTAAAATATCTGTTTAATGAAAGGCTGTCACAGTCCATATATTATATAGGGATTACTGATTTCTATTTAAAAAAAAAAAAAAACAATAATATATATTGCATTTTAAATACAATATATATATATTTAAATAGCATTAAACCTAAAAAGAAAAATGGACATAATTAAAAATATTCTATTGTTGAAAATATTTTTTAATTTTAATCTTAAAGGGAGATAATTGAATATAGATTTACTTTATGCACATTTTTATTTTCATAATAATCTCAATATCATAGTATCTGTCTTATGGAAAGTGTTCATCATACTCCAGAGAAAAATATGAAATAAAGCTTCACATAATTTAAATGATCCAAGGGAATAAAGAAAGAATAAAACTCAGGCAGCAAGCCTGCCTGTCTACGTTTCTCTTTTTGTCTCCAGTCTTTCCTTTGCACTGCTTTTCTCTTCATTCTTACTCTTTAACTTTTCCCTTTATCACAGGCATAACAATGATTCTCAACAGAAATGTTGGTCGCAACACTGACCGTAAATGGAGAACACATATTTTCAAATTCTAGGCAAAAATGTCAATCCATATGTAATTTGACAAATACTAGGTGGTAATAATTAAATATTGTAACAATTTTTTTTTAATCATTTCACCCCAAGCAAAACAATAAAGCCACTAGGGCACAAGGGGTTATTGAGCATTAGATAATATGACAAAAACTACTATTAAGGAAAGAGAACAATAAAAGAAAAAGAATTAAGATAGAAGATAATGACTGACATTGCATTTAAAATTTTGAAGAGCAAAGTTGACTGGGAAGCAAGAAACCTGAAGAAAGTTCCACAAGCAAGTAGTGCAATAGAATAAACTTTTAGTATAGAACTTAGGGTTATAACTAGCGATTTCAACTGTAAAATGATGAAACCTTGCCACCAAATTACCAAAATTTGACATGGAGGCATGAGTGAACAAATGGGGTTGACAAAAATGATGCAAATTAACTTGTTCAACCCAGCACAAAAACATTGATCTATAAAGAAACCTTGATTTACAAAACATTGATTTATAAAGAAGCACAAAAAAAACACGTTTTTTTTTTTTTTTATTTACTTAATACTTTCATTGAAAAGCATAAAAAATACTATAAAATATCTTTTAATTATCTGATCATAATTTTTTTTAAATAAATAATCCTGTAGCTTAGAACTTACCAGGCATGCAATTTTATCTCCATCAAGTAAATGGAACTTTGAATCTGAAAACAAAAAAAAAACAAGAACATATTATAAAACAAGCTACAGTGGCACACCCCAATTTTTTCTCTTCAATTAGACAGGAATAATTTCTATTAAATATTCTGCAAAGTCTTTAATTCCAATGAATACAATCAACTTAGGAATTCATATGATTTTGACTTAACACACTCAGTCATCTTTTTAATATATACAAGGCCCAAGGGCCACTCAAGGTAGAGGTTTACTGAAGACATTTGTTGTGAGAGTGGTAAGCATAAGGGGCACAGTTTATACAGATATGTGGGAAAGATAACAGTTAACTATAGACTTGAAGAGATTAAGATTGTAGTAGTCAGGAAAACATCTTCCTAAGATTCTGTTCCACAAAGCAACAATTCTTGGGAAGAAGAGATCACCTATTATATAATGATCAAGACTGTCTTTTTGGCACCTCTTTTATAAAATAAATAATAAAAGAGCAGTTAAATTTTCTGTATTCCCTAAATTCTTCAGCCTTTAAGCTGCAAATGTCTTTATTACAAACAAGATTGTTTTTTTTTTTTTTCTTTTCTATAAGCCAGCAAGTTGCAGATATTCATCATAATTAATAAAGTAAAATGGGTCTGAAGATATTTCTGTATATTTAAACACAACTGAACATTTTAAAAACTTTAACTGCAATAAAAAAAAATATTAAATTTTTTTTATAATACTAAGAGTGGCTGAAAATTTTGGCACAACCCATTTTTCAAAACGCAAACAAATGGTCAAAGATTAATTTTTGTTTTGGAAGGTTTTCTTGGTTTGGCCGAGTACTTTTCAGCACTCATTCATAAGTTTACAAATTCATAACCTTTTGTCTGTTTAACTATTAAATATTGAGCAGGATTAGATTTATAAAATTAATGAATAAGGATTAATCAAAGTTTTTACATAGGTTTACTCAATTTTTTTTCAGGTCTTAATTTCAACCTAATTGATTTTTTAAATTTACACACAAATGAATAGAAACCAAAAGAATTTTACTGCAAAATCTTAAGTATATAATTTGTGCAATATATGTAAATATTTACTTAACAGTTCTACAACTAAAGATGCGCTCAAGTTATTCATGCAACTGTATGAAGACAAAGGCTCATCTTCAAAACTAAGAAAAATAATTTTTAAAAGAAAAAAAATTTAAATATTAGATAAACTTTCTTTGAAGATTAACAAAAATCTACAAGCATTTGAGCCAGTTTTTATTGAAACTACATTTTGAATTGGTTCCAATCGATTTAAAAACCTGTTTTTAAACATTTGTAAGAAGTTGAAACTCTAAAGCTAAGCAAAATCAGCAAAAAAGACAAAGTTCAATGATAATTTGAATTACCGTAAATTGCAGTGTACAAGCCGATTTTTCAAGCCAAAAAATATTTAAAAAATTACAGGTCAACTTATATGACGAATATAAAATGCAAACCTTTACAACTGAATTGTAAACAAGTGGGACAGCACTCCTAACAATTACTGTATACCACTTACTATACCTCCAGTTGGCTGCCACAAATATATCACACTAAAACTTGTGCTTGGTGAACATAATTGGCATATTAACACAGAAATTAATATAAAATAGTAACACAAATTCAGTATTCTATTAACACTACAATATACAGTACCTACTATATACAGTAACTAGCTGTGTTAGTTGTAGATTGTTTGCTATACAAAACATACAGAAAGATATTACTGTTAGTGTCTCAATATACAGATAAGTGGTATGATCTTATGTAGTTTTGGTACACATTATTGTATACTGTAGCCAAAACTTCATTTACTGGTAGACCTAAGTTTGGGGCCACTGGTAATCTGCCATATGTTTTTTTTGTTTTTTTTTTAGGGGAGGGTTGACCTCTACAGTGGGTATAGGCTTAACTCAGAATTTTGAGCTAAAAAATTTGGAAGTTGACTTGTATGCCATAATTTACAGTAAATTACTAAACCAAACTGTAATTTTGCTATAAATGACCCGAGCCAATAATATCCACAACTTTTCAATGATATATATTGATATGCCAAAGTCATAGAAAAGGTATCCAGTACTATGTAGTGCAGATCTCTGGAAAGATGTCATTTCAATAACTGTCAACAGCTCCTGATATCAGATATTTGCGTGTGCAGTATCTTACCCACTAAAAGATAACATCTCCATCATAACTCAATGCTGAATTGGTCTCATATCAGGCAAACAAGGATGCCATACCATTTGTCAGAAGTCTTTAGAATGCTACTCAAACCAATTCTGAACAATGGGTCCAATGACATAATGTATCATTTTACTAGAAATTGCCTTTATTTTAAGGTACATGAATGGATGCAAAGAGTCATAAAGCAGTGAAACATCACATCCACTAGTCAATGACATGTTTAGACAGACAACTGGACAGAAACCATGCTACATCCCTTTATGGGACCACCACCAGCCTACAGTGCCTTGACAACTGTGGTCAATGGCTTCAAGGGGTTTGCATCATACCCAAATTCTACCATAAGATTAAAACAAATCGAAATGTCACTCACACTATATGTTGCCAGGCTTTCTAAGATCCAATTAGAAATGTCATGATAAGGTGCTATATATTGTATTAAGATAACAAGAGCACTCTAGTGAGTCTTCTGTTCCACAGAAGATAAAGAACACTGAATTTACTTGCTGAATATGTCTTACCTCCTGCATTGAATGTGGATGTGATAGGAGTCAGTGTTGCTTATGTTATCACAGACAATTCTAGCTAGACACCTTTAGTGACATGATTAATGACCAGTGGGCTGTCACTGTACTGTCCACAGTATTTGCTATTAGTAACCTAGTCAGGGTTAACGCTGACTCACCAAATATCAAGGACTACTGATAGAGGTCTGGACATTTCTATGACATCAAGGCACCACCTACCATTACCTTAACATACTGCTATCAATATGTCAATGTATACAATCATATTGCTCCATAAATATCAACACACAATGTTTTTATTAAAAAGGATCACTTCCCCAAAAAGATAAATTCAGTTTACTTTTGTCAATATAAAAGTACACTATTCTGTCAGCATCTCCATCAAATGACACATAACGATCACCAACCTTCAATGGTAGACCTACAAAAGAAAACAAAGAGCATTCAAAATTTAACAAGGTAACTCCTGGTTTTTACTCAGGTGTTGGGCACAATTAAGCACTATTTTAACTGGTTCACTCGTAAAAATGGAAAGATTTGAGGAGCAATAATTTTTGTAGATTAGCATTCATTAAAACTTCCTTTATCCACATTTGTCACAATCTAAAAATATTTTTTATCATTTTAGAAGTGGGGGTCCTGTTCATATCAATACAGTTTTAAATCATCCCTGATCTCTTAAAGAGTTAGCTGTACTTTGTTTTTATTTACAAATGTCAGGTTTGAAATTGTGCTTATGTTATTGATAACTGCATAATACTAGTGATGTACTTTTCCACAAATCCCCACCAGTACACAATTATCAGTGATGTAAGCACAGTTTCAAACTTGACATTTCTAAATATCTACAGATAACTTTTTATGAAGTCAGGGTTTAATCTGACACTGTATTTATATAAACACAAGACCCCTGCCCCCAAAAATAAATTCAATATTTTTAGATTATGATAAATGTTGAATGCTAATGTACAAAAACAACACAGTGGAGGTGGATCAATTATGGCCTGGGAGTTCATTTTCATACAATAGAACTCTTGGGTTACAGAAGATAAAAGGTCGTCAAACAGCTGCTAGTTACATTGTCATGTTAAGAAAGGCATCTCTAATTACAAAAGGCTCTCATCTATGTAGAGAAAACTGGATTTTCCAGCAGGAAAATGCTGCAATCCACAATGCTCGAAAAGCCAGAGGAGTTTTTTTTTTATGGAAAACAACATTGAGCTTTTTTGAGCCATCAACAGATATATATATATATATATATATATATATATATATATATATATATATATATATATATATATATCTTTCATTCACTGCAGAATTAATAATTATCACAATTGAATTAAGTCGGCTATCATCTGTAGAACAACACGATTTTAAAACCCATACCAAATTCACTATAATTGAGAGAATAGAAAAGTTCAGAGTAGATAACATTAGAAAGATTTTAGAGTGCCATGAAAATAAGTGAATCTGACATTTAAAGCGCACTATCCAGACGGGCTTAATCACAAATTTAACAATATAGATATTATTAATATATAACCCCACAAATCAGGACCTACCCACATTTCTCACCCACACAAGACAGACATGCTTGCAGAGGTGTTGAGGCCTCACACTTATATACACACCCACATGAATATACACACATCATACTCACTCACTCCCTATGAGCCAAATGATAACCCACACCCATAGTAAATATACACACTTACACACATCATACTCACTCATTCCCTAAGAACCAAATAACACACACACTTAACAGAGACACATCCCCTTTCCAGGAACCAATAAAACTGTCAAAATGACCAAGGGAATTCAGAGCAGCATGAATCCATCCAGCTCTTATCTTAAATAACAACTTAAAAGAGACTGTTTGACCAACAAAAGGACTGACCAAAATTCATGTTAAAAAAAATAAAAAACAAATGAAAACTACAGACAAAAGTTCATTTTCTCCATCAAGTCATTCATTTCTGTAGTTCACTGCTACCAGCAAGCAGAAATTTTTTTTTCTCCTGATGATGGCCAAGTTGGCCGAAACTAGTCAAGGAATCTAACTGAAATAATAATAAAAATAAAAGAATATTAATATACAACCCAGTGTGTCTGAAGATTTTAATTTTTTTTAATATTTTTTATTGTTCAAAACAAACACACTATATATATATATATATATATATATATATATATATATATATATATATATATATATTCAGCATCATCACTTGATAAGACACCAGAGGTGTTGAAACAAAATGGCTATTTTTGTAGTGATTTTATAACAATTATGTTATAATTTTTAAATAAATAAATATATATATATATATATAAATTTACAATTGAACATTATATGAAACTATATAAAGCAAGAAAAAAATTAAAACTCATTTCAACATCCAGAACAGTGTCATTGAATAGGAAAAAAAAGGAAATCTTACCAATACCCATGTTTTTTTTCTCCATCAAAATGGACCCACTCAGCAAAGAACAAACAAGAAAGGAATTTTTTTAAAACAATTTCAACAAAATGAAAATGTTACTCAGTTCTTAAGTCCAACAGAAAGGGAAATAATTTCAGCACACTGAAAGACCAATTGCTTTGTACCAGACATTTTTTTGAGTCTGCCACATTTTCACCCCAACTTATCTTATATAAATATAATGTTGCTCCTTCTGACTTCCTGTTCATGCACCATATTAAGCAACCATTTCATATGCCACATTGATTTAAAAATTACTGCGCTCATAAACAAGCTAAAAGAAGTTAAAGACAATAAAAATAATAAAAAATACACCATTTCTATTTACAACTATTTAGAAATTCTATGTGCCATATCTCTTGAAGAAATTTGGCAATCATGGGTCTCCAGATCCTCCTTCTTGTATCCCTCAGCAACTTTTTTCTTTTGCTATGCTTCCTACCCTGTTCTACATCCATTTACACAAGCACATCAGATAAGGGCATTACCAGTCATCATAAATTTATTTGTTACTCTACTTGCTTTTTGTTCTGATTTGTAAACCACAAAATTGTCGATGCAACATGACTGAAAATTAGCTAAACATACTTGGTAAAATTGTTCATGGTATCAACATTTTAATGTGTATAGATGTGATTGATCAGCTCAGGGAGGAGAAAGGCATTAGCATGAATAGAAAATGATGTATCAAAGTTCAAGCGATTGCAATGTGCATATTTACATATGCTCTATCCATGATGTTGATCACTTTAGCCCATAAATATGGTATACCTTAAAACTATGTTATTATCCCTTTGATATGTTGTGTGAGTTTCAAATTCTCTAAACCCTCCTTCCTCATTATGTACTCTAGAAATTTCATCTGTCTCTCTGTTTATGAGCCTAAGTCCTTTTTGTTGCTTATATCCATGATATTCTCAGCATCTTTCTGTAGATCCACATTTCTGTTCTCCAGTTATCTCTTCATCTGTGATGAGATTGTCCAGCATTCTCGGTGTAGAGGAGGTCTAATATTACATAACAGTTCAGCACTCTTTTCTTTGTTTCTAGCAAAATTTTTCCATTTCTTAGTACTTCACTTAGCTTTCAGAATACATGTTTTGCTAATCCAATGTGTGTTTAGTTTCTGGTGTTGCATTTTGTATCCCCTGTTAAAACACTTTCCATATATTTAAACTTCTGTACTGGTTTGATTTTGACATCTCCAATTTGTTGCTTGGGTTTTTTTCTATTGTTGGCAATCATACATTCTAAGTTGAACTTAATTGTGGGATCTTTTCTTCTTCTTTTCATAATAAAACAATTCACTCAACTTGTCTTTCCTCAAATCTGAGCAACAAAGCACTTACTACTTCCAACAGTTCTAGTAGTCTTGAAAACAACACAATTTTTTTAAATGATTAAATGAGATATGTGTGTATATATATATATATATATATATATATATATATATATATATATATATAGTACTGGGTGCTGACGTCAATGTTTACTTGTATATTTACATATTCTCTATCAATGATATTGATCACTTTAACCCATAAGTATGGCATACCTTAAAACTACATTATTATCATTTATTTTTACGTATATAAGATAAATGTAAACTCAAGTTTCACCCTCAAAAAAAATAAATAGATAAAAATAAAAAAAAAATGAGGGATCAATCACATCCATACACAATGTTGATACCATGAACAATTTTACCAAGCATGTTTAGCTAATTTTCAGTTATATTGCATAAACAATTTTGTGATTTGCAAATCAGAGCAAAAAACAAGCAGAGTAACATTTAACAAATGAATTCATGACTGGTAATGTCTATAGCTTACTTACCTGTTGGTAATTTTTGACGTGTTTTCACAAAATCAGCACCACACTGAAAAATAAAATTAAAAGAAAATAAAACTTTGGTACTATTTTTTTTTATTTCATTAATATTATCTTATTTCTAGTTTATCAATACCATAAAAAGACAGCATTATTTTAAGATTTTTGACATTTTATTAGTACAGTGCAATTACTATTGAAGAGTTTAAAATAATTTAAGACAAACTGCTTTAAATTTGACAAAATGCCATAACAAAAAATTTGATTTCTACATTATCATCAGAGTTTACTAAATAGAAATGATTGTTTTATTGGTGGATTTGTTTTGGGGTTTTTTTGGGGGGGGTTGTTTTTTTTACAGCTTATCAACATTTGCAGGTTATTTAAAGCCTGAAAATATTTTTAGATTTTTTTTGATAATGATTTAGAGATACAAGTCCTACTAATTAACCTATAGCCAGGGGAGAAGAGATGAATTCATACCTTTCCCAAGGTTATTAACACACGAGTGAATATAACAAACCCAAATTGAATTAGAGCTTGGCTCTCTCATTAACAATTTCATGCCATTATCCATTACACCACCTGCACATCCAAGCTTAAAGTACCTGGTATTCCTAAACAGTCACTCATTCAGGTACTGAACAAGGCAATGTTGCTTAAGTTCAGTGACTGTATGAGAATTGGTGTTCCAACATGATGCGGCCATAAGACTACATAGAAATGGGGAATTCACCCATCTCTCTGATGCAAACTTTTCTAGTAACAAGTGTGTATGTATGTGTGTCACATACACAAAATTATATATGAGATAATATATATATTTTTATATATCAAGAACTATTTTTTGAGAAAAATGTATGACAAAGTGAAAAAAGTTTTTGTGCGACATTTCCTGTAGCATATCAGTTGCTCACTGTAATGAGACGGACCACAATTTTGATATAAAAAATGACACTCTAATGAAAAGAGAAAACAATTCAATAAGATGAAAATATTTAGTAAGTGCTTTAATCACTAGTTCATCCACAGTAAATTTGCATCTAGATTCTTACAACTTTTCATCATTCTTGGCAGATCAGAATGTGGGATATTTAATAACAACGATGATAAAAAGAAAAAGAATCAAAATGAAATCAGCTAGATTATATATTTTTTCTTTTTTTTAATAAATTCATTTCAAGCAAGGTGATAATCCCAATAAGAAGCAAGGGACTACAAGGGTTAAAAAAGTATGAGAATACTTTAGAAGTAACTAGAAACCCAATCAAACAAAGGATAAACCACTACTCCCATTCAAATAACAGGGAAGGAGTATGAACCGGACAATAGGTAAACATAAAATACACAAAAAAAAATTTAATTTAAATTTCAAATTTCCAGCATCTCGTTCATGCACATGTGTAGTCACATCAACGTAAACAAACTTAGTCCAATGAAATCCTAAAGGGCAAAATGTGACATGAAATTTTTTTTTTTTTACACTTTGTCATATATATATATATATATATATATATATAGACAGCATATCTTCATTCAAGCATGTTACATTAAATAATATAGACATATTATGTCTGTCTATGTTTATAATAATCCTTTCTAGTTCTCTAATTACCTTCTTGATGTTAAGTTGAAATTCATCAAGGAAGGCAATGTATTTTTTGTTAACCCAAGTACTTTCGGTCACCTCCGAGATCATCTTCAGTGGTAAATTGTGAAGACAAACTTAATGCAACTTTAATCATAATGATACTGATTTCGCAAACGCACTATGCTATAATTATTTTAAAATTAACCGTTGTCATTACGATGTTTTGTAAACAAGCATTCCCAGTCCAAGGGCGATAACCAGAAATTCTAAATTTCAAAATGATGTTAAATGTTAGTCAACAAATGCATTTTTAAAACATTGCTACTATACTCCAAATAAATTTTGCTCAGTGTTGGTTGGTTGCTTGTGATATAAAGGGCCTTGAGAAATGGAAGTTTTTGTTTATTATTTTCATGGTGTTGTATATTGGTGTTGTCAACAAGTATTTTCCTGTATTGTGAAGGTCTTTAAGTGTTGTGCAATAGAACTTGTATCCGATAAATGGAGTGTAAGACGTTTTGATATTGTTGTAGTTGTCAAGCCAATATATATTTTTGTGAGAGATATAATCTCCCAAAGGACATTTAAACTGATAAGTGTCGATCTGAGGACAGTACAGAGGATTCAGAAAGAGTTGGATGAGTCTAATGGTGATTACAAAGATGTTTGGAGTGATCACTAGTGATGGTGATGTTATGCCTCTATTCATCTTCTCACAGGGCTTCAGATGCATCAAGTGTCTTGAGGAGGTAGTGCTGCCTTGGGCCAAGAGGGTGGTTGCTGGAAAATCCTTTGTCTGGCAACAGGACTCTGTACCATGCCACACAATCTCTGTGACCACATCACCCCTTATATCTGGCCACCTAACACTCCAGGCTGCAACTCCCTTGTTTATGTGTGGGGCACAGTTGAGAAATTATATTATAAAAAAATAATCAAAACAATTTTTTTTTTTAATTCCCCATTAACCAATTTATAAATTATTAATTTACTAGTGTGTATTTTGCCTAACATTGTGTACTATTTATTATGCTATAATAAAAAAATATTGCCAACTGGTGCATTACTTCATATGAATTGAGATCAAATCAAATATGAATTAGAATCCAACAGAATGATAGAAGGAACAAAGAGAAAATGCTTATAAATTTAACATGTTTCACTTTTATCTAAGTTTCATCAGAAAATGAAATATGGAGGAGAAAAGTAAATTCTGGTATTTTTTATTTTTGTGCTGTTTGGTTTCATTGGGTAATACTGGATATGTATTATATAAATATATAGCCAAGACTCCATAATCATGTTAAAAAATATACTACATATACTTTGAGATGAAATAGTGCTTTTTAATAAGTGAATTTATACTGAATTGATGAAATTAATATCTCTCAATGATATTTTAAATTACATTTTCAAACATCACTATCAGTTCTCCAATAAGTATGCATACAACATGAACACTAGTTGAGTTCTTTGTGTGCATGATAAATTTGTTACTTGAGTTACGCCCCTTGAATTGTAATTATGACCGTACAGTCAGTTATGCGCCATGTATGATACACAATTAGGCGATCTTTCGATATATGACTGACGAAGCAGATTTTTTTCCCCTGAGTACGTTGCCATTTCTTTCTGTGGTAGAACCCAGTCTGTCCTGCTATTTACCCATAGCTGGGGGGGGAGAAGAAGGGGATTCAAACCTTTCTCAAGGGTATTAGCACCTAAGTGAATATAATGGATTCGATTAGAATTTGAACTCAGTTCCCAGATTCTTCAATCCAAGTCACTATCCATTACTCCACCGTGGCTCCCTGATAGGACACAACATTGTTATATTGTAGGATATAACTTTCTTGCAAACATTTATTGTTTCCAAGTATTTATTTATTAATTACAAACATAGTAACAAAAATTTATTCCTTAATAAGTGACTGATAAAATCTGAAACTGTTTTTGTCCTCACAAAAGGAATTCTTGTGTTGGAATGCATCACGAAAAAATAAATGACTGTCTCTTTCTCTCCTGTTGTCATAGCGACGGACACAGTCTCCACTTCTGAGACTGAAAACTGACCTCCTCATTCCAGCCCTTTACATAGAGCTTGATAACTCACCTATGCAAAACACCAACAAGCCAGCTACCAATCACAGTTCCCGCGCATGCCCACCTCCATTCGCTTTGGGGGTGTCAAGTTGACCAACCAACTCATTACAATTCTTACCATATAAATCTCCGATACTTCAGAAGAAGACCTCAACTTAGACAGTGGGCAATGAGCATATGCCTGAGGAAAAAATTCCAGCTTGTCTACTGGCTCACCTAATATGCAAGTTTTTACAGTATTATCAGTGAACTTCCAAGAGAGCTCCATCTACACTGCTATTTAACCCATAGCTGAAGCATTTAAAGATTACAAAATGTAATATGCATCTGAAGAAAGCTGAAAATTAATATTAAAAATAATAAGCGTATTATGTTTTATCTCATGAATTATTCAAACATGGTTAATTCAGTTTCTGTTTTTAACTATTGTTCACCCAATAAAAGGCCCAAGAGCCACACAAGTTAGAGGTTTAGGGAATTAAATTCTTTTAAGGGAGTAGGAAGGAGGGAAAGGTGCATATTATGAAGATATATAGGATAGATAAAGATTGACTCTAGACTCTAAGAGGCTAAAATTGTAGTGATCAAGGGAGCATCCTCTTGGGAGTCTGTTCCACAAAGTGGCAGTTATGGGGAAGAAGTCTGAGTTGGACTTTCTCTTTACCAAAGGAATATGAATTTAATGAGAATGATTTGACACCATGGTGGGTACTAGTTGTGAAGATTTGAAACGGTGGATCTAAGGAAATTGACATCACCAAACCCTTAATTTTAGTAGCAAACAGCCTTACCTCATGATTTAGAATGCCATCACTACCATCATTGAGTACTTCAATATCAAGGGCATCATTTAAATGGTGCTTGAGCAAACATACTTTCTCTGCTCCTACTCCATTGGCTGCATCTAATATAAGACGAGGTTTGTACAAACCAGGACACGAAGGCTTCTGCAAGTAACAAAACAATTATGAATAAAATACATATAAAAGCCAGTATATTAAGTATTTACAAGCAAAGCTTTAAAAAATACAATAAAAACAATGATACAAGTGATTTTTTCCATTGCTTTTGAAGAGATTTTTGCATATTTAAAAACTATGCAATAAACAATTTTTAATGTCTTCAAATCCAATTTGAAACATTATTCAGCAGTGTTTTGGAGTGATTTCACAGTGGAGGCTTGTATTTGTACTAAGTCGATCCTAAAATAGGTTCGACTACAAAACGTTAAGAACTTGATATAATAGGTATAACGCAGAGTAATCTAGTTGTGGTCGCTGATACTTTAGTATTCGACTAACGGTCGTACGGCATCGACTGACTGACCGACTCACTGAGCAACTGACTCGTTACTCCTACTTATTATAGGTGAGAGAGTCTATTAACTATAGAATAGGTGTGTTCCCCTATAACAAGTAGTAAGCTTAACTTCTTTCCCCCCACACACCCTCCCCCACTTAAAAAGTGCTTTGAATCCAATAACAAAAGATTAGCTAGAGAACACAGCAGCCAAAATACAAATAAAAATGCATTCTCAGATTTAACCTTATTCATATTCCATTATTCAAACTCGTAATCACAGTTCTATTACTGTTTTATTTAGTCTTTTATCATAATTTGACAGACTTTTTCCTATGACCTTCCTAAGTGATATCTTGTGTTTTCAATCCGCACAAGTCATCATGAACATTTGATGTTTCACTCTACAAACTGTTCTAATTGTAAACCTGTTGTAGAGTAGTACTCTGCATACTTCCTTCTCTTCCCTACTAATGATAATGGACTGTTCCTACTTATAAATATGGCAAATAACCACATTAGAGGGGAGGATTTGAGTAGTAGTTGATTTACTCAGGTTTCCCATTCTGTGTATAACTATTTAATAAATCTCTTCTTTGTTTTCCCAACCTAGACTTTTGTTTCTTTGATAGTCTCTCTAATTACAATCTTCCTAATTCTCAGCTATTTTGAATAAAGACCACATTACAACAGAACCTCCTTAGATTCTTTTTAATTAAGAAAGAAAAATCTTAAAAAACACAGAAATGATTTCTGAAAACACAACCAAGATATAATAAATGCTGTAGAAGGCCTAAGACAAAACACTAATTAACAGATCACAACATTTATCAAAGAGATGAAATTTAAATTTTTATTATTGCATTATTGCAAAATTTTAACATCGGTAGATAGCTGTTAATGCCAACAACTGAGCACAAATAGTTATTAATTAAAAAAATTAGTAAATAATGTATAATATTATCCATAACTACATGTACAAGAATGTCGTTTTTGATAAAAGTTGTGATCTGTAAATAAACTAAAATCAAAGAATGAGAACAATTCAGGACAGGAGTATTTTATCATTGCAGCTTTATATGCCTTAACAAGGAAGTTCAGATAGATAACATTAAGATCAATATCTTTCTTTGTTAAGTCGCATAAAACACTGGGCCTGCAAGATGAATTCAGGGTTTATAGCAGAGGGTGTCAAACACTCCACATTCAGCCCCTTGGATTATCTTTGTGGTTTGTTGGGAACTATTTTTATGACTAATATTTCTCAAATTTTACTAAGTTTAATAAATTTATCTCTTATACCTGCCATACTTTTGCATTAGCAGTATTGAGCTTAACCTACCCACCAAGTGCAAATAGACAGTCAATCAATTTTAAAATCAGTAGAATCTGTTTTAGTTCCTCTCCAAGGAATGGAAGAAAACCTCCCCAACATCAGGTATTCTTCATCAGCTACCTTATGAGAAAGTATAAATGTTATTGGCAACAATGTTGTTCTTAGTTTTGGTTTCTTTAATTTTATAAGAAATAAATTTGATAATTCATATTAAGGAAAGCAGAAATAAGTATCACATTTTTATATACATTATACAAGTTTTGTTTATATATATATATATATATATATATATATATATATATATATATATATATATACATACATAGGAATAGCTTAATTTATGTGTTTTTAATTAGTGTGCTAAAATTTTTTATACTAAAATTCAATTAGTGTTTGCATAATGCTTGATTAGTATAACAAAAATGTTTTTAGTTTAACCATAGTAATTGAAAACTCATCTTTTTATCATTACCAATTAATTAAAATTTTTTTTTAAATTTAGAAATACAAAATGTACTACTTGACAAAGTAGTTACTCATTTTCCAAGTAATTACAGTAGTGTTAAAAATTTTAAAAATGGACGCTTATAATTAGATAAATTTTATAATATAAGCCAATAATAAAATACATATTTGAATATTTGTCAATTAATATATTTTGAATATTTTGATTTTTTTCATGCTTATTTAAAAGGAATTTTCTGATTTTTTGTTAAAAAAATAAATAAATAATGGACAATGTAATTAGATACAGAAATTCACATTTATTAAGAAATATCAAAATATAAAAAATGTATGCATTTACTATGGAAAGATTATAAATAAAAATTTTCAAGTTAAAATACTAATGATTATGTTTGGAAAATTTCCAAAACTATAAAATATGTACTTATATTTTAATTAAAAAGTACACAAATTAGAAATTAATTGTGAATGTGACTAAAATTTGAGGTACAAATTACATAAGTTATTATATTAAATTAGTGCGTATCTTTTAATGTACACATTAGCTACACTAATCCTGGTGTATATAAGGTGAAAAAGGATAAATTTGGTTACTCATATTGGCATGGGGTGTAAACAACAGAAAATGAGGATTTTTTTTAATGTGAGGAGGTCTATAGAACTGGTGTCATATTTGGGTACATGAGTTAAAAGACAACACAAATAGAAAATCATGTTAAAAAGAGATTAGAGAGAAGATTGTTACATAAACTGAAAACAATTTTACTACATTCTCACAAAAAAGTACTAATGACAATCGAAAAACCTAACACATGTATATTTTTAATATCATGTCCTGATAGAACACTAACAATAACGGATCTTCACAGATTCCTTTATATGGAAATGCATTACATGCATTCTTGGGGAGGGGGAAGGTCCTATAATTTTACTCTTACCAACTCTGTATTACAGTGTTAAGGAATTGTTCTGTTTTTATAATCAGTTGCAATTTTAGTCTTGTCCTTTCACTCCTCAAAGACCAGCACTTCATCAAATATGTGTGTGTGTGTGTATATATATATATATATATATATATATATATATATATATACACACACAATGAAAATATAATTCTAAGTTATGCTGTATTTATGAGTGAAAGTGCTCAATATCAAGGATAAAGTGTGTGTAAATGTAAAGTGGACACTGAGGATAACATCAAGTGGGGACAGTGTTTCATGTTTGAATGCAATCTTCAGGTCATGTGTTGTGGAGACGTGACATATCGTCACACACACACACACACGTAGAAAGTTCTCAGTCCTACCAAGAAAGAAATGACCTAAAGCCATGAAACACATTCATCCTGATAATACTAAACATACCACACAGTTTCCTTTCAAAAAACAACTGTGATATTTGACCATTGAAATATTGATTTTGGAAAGTGGGTAATTGAGAACTTTTCAATATCCCTTCATATGTGTGCATGACTCAAGGTAAAATTAACAAGGGTTGCAGCAGCTTTTAACTGTCATTACAACCTGAGCAATAAAAAAAATTACAGATGAGTAATTGAATAAAGCATTTACTCAATCCCATCTTCCATCAACAAATATAAACCTTAATTCAAACAATAGTACTTTTTTTTAATAATTACTGTCTTGTTGGGAAAAATAACTCAACAATAAAAGATGGTATTTATAGAAATAAATAAAGTAACCAATTTCTCTGTGAGGCCAACAACAATCAAAGGAAAAACTAAGAACATTCTCAGCACTTGATGCTTAAATTGGCATTTTCAGATAAAATAGATCAAGTGGAAGCAGGCTATAATTATTAAACGGTCAATGTAAATAAAACAAAAAGAAAAGTAGTAGTAATAGTACTTACAGAGCCACGTAATTTAAGGAAAGCCTCTCCCAACTTTTCATAATAGCCATCCTCTGTTGGTTTCCCATACCTCTTCTGAGTGTTCTCACACCTAACAACGTAATGAAGCATGGGAGTTGTCATTTCACCTGACAAAGAAAAATTACACCAAATTAAAATCTTGTTCTTGTGAAATCATTCAACTGCCAAAAAGGAAAAATACAATAAAAGTCACTTTGCAGTGAATATCAATAGTACAAGAGATTTGCAGTTATATATAAATTACGAATTAAATTTAATATAAGTCAAACATTCAAAAGAAGAAAACAATATAAAGGCAAATTGAATTGATAACAACCCTAGTTCCTCTTCCCACTGCAGGCACTTTTAAAAAAAAAATGAGAGTAGGGAACATGATTTGATTACCCCATCCCTGCCAATGGCTAAACTGTATTTTATCATATCTTTTTTTCAGTTTGATTTGATATCTTGTACTAGCATGTATTCATGTGTTTTCTTATCCTTTAAGGCCGCAGATGTGATGTGTAAAAATCCAACTATGATAGTCACACAAACAATTATTAACCAAGCCTAGTTTCAAATGGCCAAGGCTACAATACTAGAGAGTCTAGGAAGGATTGAACTCACTAATTTGTCTGTGAGACGATCTTGCTAAAAATCTTGGCAAAGTCTGGCAAGAGGCAAGACTAGTGAGTTCCCAGTAAAAATTCAAATGGCAAGAATAGCAATACTGTTTGCTAGATAAGCTTGCTATGATTAAGCTCAGCATAGCCTGGCACAAGATCACACTAATGCAGCACTTATTGGGATTCATACAAACTCAAAAATTAGTTTACTCAACAAATTTTATGATGTTCACCCTGTACAAGGCCCAAGAGCCAGTCGAGGAAGAGGGTTACAAATAATAGTCATTTACTAAGCTTAGCTCATGTCCAAGGTCACAGTAATATACTACTTGGCAAACCCTTATAACATCAAATTACAAAAATTAACCACCATAGTCTCCTTTTTATTATTTAAATTAAATTTATTTGTCACTTTTTATGCTATGTACCTTCAGATACATTTTCTTTATCAACTGAACTGCTAAGACACCTTGGGAAAGATAGTGGAGCAGTTTCCTCATCAGGTTCTCCAGTTTTGAATTCAGATTAGTCTGTCCCCTAAACTAGCTGTCATCCAAGACTAGAGGGACCAGTCTACCCTCTTATTTAATTCATAGCTGGTGGGAGAGATAGATAGATTCCTGTCTTTCAGAAAGGCCCTAGTGAGAAAGTGAATGCAACTGATGAGGCCATTTAAAAATTAATAAAATTCCACACTTGGTATATTCAAATTATTTACTTGAAGCATTTATCAGTTATTCCTATTCAGCTTTTATTTCTTTCATTACAACTCCTATCAGACCAGATATTCCAGGATTGTAAGTAAATTGAATAGAAAATAAATATCATTGAATGATAATCAGTAATTGGTGATAAGAAGCAATTAAAATTAAAGGAAAAATACAAATCAAAAGTTAATAATTGAAAACACTTCATTGAAGAAATTTGGAATAATATAACTAATATGAGTAGTACTCATAAACAAAAACATGGGCTATCAGGCTTTTAAGGAAAATAGAGAATAATGATTGTATAACTAAGTTTGACTTAAGTTTGATGGCCTAATTGGTAAAGCAGGTGCCCTGGAAGATAAGAAATGCATGTTCATGTTTCATCAAATTTACCAATTAATAATTTCAATTCATTATTATTTATGTATTGCCTCATCTTACTAACCCATGTATTGCCTTTTATTTTTCCTTGTTATTTTATTACTCATGTATTTGTAACAATATGATTTCTCATACATCTTTAGAAGATAAGGAAATAAATTTCTTTTCTTTCTTAGTTATCTGAGTTTCATAGGAATTTCGTCTCCAGTCCATCTTTGAGTAAACTTAAGTGTCAGAGTTTTTCAGGATTTCTGTCTCCAGCTGCCTTTGAATTGGCAAACATAAAATGTTGTTAATGATTTTAGATAATCTTCAAAGTAGAATCTTTAGAAGTTGTGGTCTCAAACCTTCTGGAACACAAGTGGATGGATAGGGGGTGAGACCCCAGATATTATCCATATAAACAGAGAGAGGCATAAAGTTGAGGAGAAAGGGGTTCAGCAGTCAGTGAGGAAAGAAGTAGGTAAGTGACCATTGAGTGAATATCTGCCCAGTGGCCAGGTAGGAAAGGATCAGTGGCAGTTAAGGAGATGGCAGTTCAGCCAAAAGAAAGAGAATTGAGAATTCATATTGTTGCTATTTCCCAACCAGAGAATCTTGAAAACCAATTGTTGTTTTTTTTTGTTGAATATGATCATGGCCAAGTGGACAAATCTGTGAGCATGGTGAAGTTGGGTGTATAAGCAAATACAGCCAATATTGGATGTCACCACAGGTGCAGTGAACAATGGACAAGCAGAGAATGGCATCACTAATTTTGTCACATATTTTCATTTTTTTTTTTTCAATTTAAGATGGAAGTAAATACAAGTTAAAAAATAATGATGGTTGACAATGCTTCATCTAATAAAAACAATACTTCAACACAATATAGCTGAACTTGTACATTTTTGAAATTCAATGTCTATTTTTATTACCACAGACAATTTTCCAACTTGAATTAATTGTTTTTGTTGTTGTTTTTAACTTGTTCCAGCCACTGTTATTCAGTAGGCCCTTCTTTTGTGTGTGTGATATATATATATGTATATATATATATATATATATATATATATAGGTAATCTTTCGAAGTCACAATACATTTTCGGGAAAATTTATAAAACATTTCACAAGTTTAACAATAAAAGAAAATACACTGTAAGATAACAAATGTTAGTAATGTGTTTAAATTTACACATCCATGTAGATTTCTTTGTAATACCAAAAACCATATCAGTGGTAAAAACTTACCAAAATCATGAAAATGACTTTTGAAACAACTAACTCCTTCGAGGAAAGCAGAAGCCAACGTCACACTTGAAGGTCTAAAAAGAAAGTAAAAATATTACTTTCCTAAGTTACACTGATTTTCACACTGAAAATTTACTTATCAGTGAAAAATGAAGAAAAATAATAATACTATTCTCATTAACACTTTCTGACAGCATAGCTTTTTTATTTGCAATACATTTCTATTTGAAAATGATTTCCAATGCATTTCTATAATAAAGCAATTAGCATTACATTAAATCACACATAACTTATTCCATCAATAATACTGACAATCCCCTTGTCCTGAAATACATTTCTATAGCAAAATGATTGACATTTTCTTTCTATAGTAAAAATTCATGAGCAATATATTATACAAGTCCATTTCTCTCAGTAACTCCGACACTTTTTCCTGCCTTTCAATACCAAACACAGATTGAGTGCCAAAATTTTAGGTGTTCAATTTTTTTTCTCCTATCACCAGAAATATTTTTTTTATAAAAACGAAGACTGTGATAATGATGGAGTCCTCAAGAAAATAAAGTTATAATTTTATCTTCCCCACACACAAATTATATATCTTAAAAAGATAAAAAACACTTACCAGAACACTTATGCAGTTTCTCTTTGAGATATTAAATGGCTCTGCAAGTTTGATTTTCCTACTTGAAATTGAGCACTTTTTGACATGTACGATTTTAACAATATTTCAGTGTTTGCTTCAGTGCACATATATATATATAAAGGTGAATGAATAAATCTATACAATGCAATGCTCCTCCCTTTTCTCCTGTGTGGATGTGAAATGTAGACCTTATACCACAGTTACATCAAGAAATTGAGAAAGTTCTATATACAAGCTCTTCACTGCATACATGGAATTACGTTGCAGGATCGTATCACCAATTTTGAAATTTGGGACCAACATCAAATTACAAGTCAAAGGGACTGGGAACATCGACCACATGGAACAATATGTTCCTAGACACCTGTTGTATGGAGAGCTACTATGTAGCAGAAGACATCAATGTTGACCAGAGACTCAATGAAAACTAACCCTTACTGGTACAAGATAAGATTAAACGAACCAAAAGGGTGTGTGCTGATCAATCACATTGATATGCTATTGTCAACCAAGCCACTATCAATTTTAAAGAAGTCTAGTGTCAAAAACTCAATCCTCAAAGAGAACAGCAACTCTGTGCAACTTTGGCACTGAAAACAAACAGCATGTCGCCACTGCTCCAGATTCTGCACATCTTGGGGTTGCAGAGCCACCTCCAGATCAACTGATGAATTGCAAAATAAAGTCTTCTTTGGTGCCAAAGAAAAAAAACATGATATATATATATATATATATATATATATATATGTGTGTGTGTGTGTGTAAGGTAGATCAATAAAAATCTGTGGCCTAACAGTAGTTAACTGAATTCTCATCTGAAATTTTTACTTTATAATGTTTGATCTCTAGAGAAGCATTGCTATGAAAAGACACATTAAAAATATTGTATAAACACTTTTTTATTCATTAATCTATAGATTAACAAACTTACCTATGCATGTCATCATTAATAAACAAAGTTCAATATTCAAAATTCATGAATCAATGATAAAGTTAAAATTGTTTCAATTGATAGTTACCTTTTTATTTCCAATAACTATCCTGAGATTTTTTTTTTAACATCAAAGAAAACTGATCTCAGATCACCGAGTCCCACATAAATATATGAAAGGCTTTGAACTTTCAGAGATGTCTTTACCAAAAACCAAAATAGAAAGCAACATAAATATGCTAGAATTCTACAAGTAACGTGCTTACCTGTTATCTCTGGCAAGGAAAATATTGCTTTTTTCACTCATGTCAATTGTTGCTTCTTGGATGATCTTGTTAAGGACAGTTTTAACCTCAGAATCTCTGTATTAAAAAAACAAATAAAATTATGTTACAACCAAACAAGATACATGAAATAAAAGGAATCTGTCACTTTTGTTGTTGATATGTACTGTGTATTGTTGCAAGAGTAACAAACAAAAAAAATCAATGTAATGTCAGTGGGATGGAAAGTAAAGGAGTCAAAATTTGCTAAAATAAAAATCTTTTTTATCAATGCATACTTTATATCAAAGTAGAAAAGTTCTTGTAGTTAAGGGAGGTGACAGATGTGGACAAAGGAATCTGATCTCAAAGATCACAGAGTTGGCTGTGTAGTGATGCTGCACTGATGTTTGCATCAAATTGGTTGACAGTCTGCTGTGAACTGCTTTAAGGGTCACTGAGCAGGTACTTTTAAGCAATCAGGGTGGATACATGACTCTGCATTTTTGTCATGTTTTTGCTTTAGTGGCAACATTCATGATTGGCCCCAACATTTAAACATTTTATTTTTGGATTTATTTTGGGAGCTGGTGGCAATGCCCAGGGCCCATGCACAGACAGTGACTTTTTTATATTTAATTTTGCTTTCATAGCATTCATAATTGACCAATAGGTCTTGAAGTGGAGTGAATCAGAGAGAGATCTAATTTGAAACACAGTATAACATTGCTAGGATTCAAACAAATTAAAACAATCTTTAGATGTACAAAAATACATTTTGTGAGGAGCTCTCATCATTCAAAGAGTTGTTTAGACTACTGAATTCATTCTTTTATTTTTTTTTTTTTTCATCAAGGATAAAATTACCAACATATACTCAATTGCTGGAAATGAGCCAAGCCAAACAATATATTTGCAAACATTTTTTTAACTGGGAGCGAGAAAGAAACATGTGATTGTATACCTGAAGAACGTGAGAGTATGAATTGGCTAAAAATAATAAAAATGAAAACAAAAGAAATCATCAATATTTCATTTCTTGACGATAAATCATCTAAAAAATAAATTAAAAAAAACAAGTTATAAAGACTCGTTTTTCTTGCCAATAAATCTTCTTCTGATGTAAGCTACAGGTGATTTTTATAAAAATGACTTTTAGATAGCCGAGTGAGTTAATTAATCAACTAAAACCAAAGACAGACATCACAAATAGTGACATAAAATAACTTTAATACATTGACTGCCAGAGGTCAATTATGAAATCTGACTTCAAATGCCAACTTTGGTAAAAAAAAAAATTTTAAATGCTTCATTTTTTATGTTTTCAATAAATTTTTTTTCATAAAAATTTTGTTTTTAGTTGCCAGTATGATATTTTTAATTCCTGGCAGGTACCAGTTATTTGCCTTAAAAACAACAACAACAAAAAAAAATGTGGTTGTAGCCTTGATAGAAAGACAACAAAAATAAGATAACTCATTGCCGGCACCATAATAAAAACTGCCAACCACAAGTTATTTTATAGTTGGCAGTCAATGTGTTAAAAAAATTCAAATATATAACAAATTGGACAATATAAACTTTATAGATACAAGCCTCACCAACTAACAAATCAAATATTTACACGATATAATATTTACACTACAGTCTTCATTATTGTTGTTGTTATTATCACAACATTTTGGTCATTCTGCCCTCCAATCTTTGTCAATAGCACAATGGCCATAACAAGAATAATGATGAGGACACTAGTCTAGTCCAAATATAGTGTAAAAAATGATAACTCCTAATCCCAGAAATTTGGACAGAACACTTAAATACTAAGAGAATTTAAACTTAAGAAGTATAGCTATTTCTATTTTAATTCAAATCAGTTGACGGCACACTATAGTCTTTTATAGATAAATAATAGAGTAAGCAACACATAAGGACCAAATTAATTGAAACTTTTGATCAACAATACATAAATTTATATTGATTTATTTAAACAAATTTCATTTTTATTACATTGTTTTGATTGCTGTATTCTGATTTTCTTTGTTCAAATAAAGCAAGCACATTTCTTTCTGTACACATCACACCAGAACATATTCCAACATTATAAAATATAGGGTGTTCCAATAACTTGGACCAATTTTAAATGTGAATTAAGTTTAAGTGTCTGATTTTTTTCTTTTTCTTTCAGATTTAACAACTTAAGTCTTTGGCAATTTCAACCATGGAATCAAAACAATGTGTTAAAGTTATTGAAGCCTATTATGAAAATGGACGTTCAAACAGAAATATATTTTGTGCACTTCACAATTTTTTGGTCAACATAATCAACCAACCGAGAGTTGGAAAAATTGTTTGTAAATTCAAACAAACTGTACCAGTGCCACATGTGAAAACACCACTGCATGCTCGTTTATGCCATTCAGCTGAAAACATTGCCTCAATGCACGAGATTGTGGCCAAAAATCCAGACAACCCTATTTGTCATTGCACACAGGAATTGAACCTCTCCACAACAATGTTACATCGAATTTTGACAAAAGATTTGTCGCTACATGCTTACGAAATTCAATTGACACAGGAACTGAAACCTGCTGACCTTTTGGAGTGCCGTACATTTGCTAATGCATGAGCAAAAACAAGCTGATGAAAATTTTTCGTAAAATCAGTCCAAGTTATTTGAACTCCCTATATAACTGACATATGAAGAAGGCCAGAGAGTACAGCAACCAAATCATAATAAAAATAAAAAGTAAAATAAAAAAAATTGAAATTATAAATAAAGTAAAATAATGAGTCTTATTTACTATGCATAGCTTACTTTTGACCATCCTGTAGTTCATTACTGCATTTGTATTACTACTATACTGTATTCAAACTTGACTGGATATGCCATACTCATTTGTTTAGGTCAGACTAAGCTGAGTAGACATCTACTAAAATTAGTTGCAGTCATTTTGTAATCAGTGCAATTGCAATATAGCCAAGCCAAAAACTCACGTGACATTGGCAAGCTCTGAAGCATAATGTTCCCAGTTAGCAGCCAGCATCTCTCCCATAGGATCCACCAATTTAATGCCATTGTCTTCTACTGGGTTGTGAGATGCAGTAATCATCACTCCAATAGTTGCTGGAAAAAAATGTTGAGGAATACGTAATTTTCATTTAAAATAAATATAAACACTGATTTATAATTCAAAAATTTAAATTCTTTAAAATTCCAAATCAATGAGTCATCAAAAAATAAACATGGTTTAATGTATAAATGCTGTAATGGAATGTCCCACTCTCCCTATTGCCTATTGTGGACTGACTATATATATATATATATATATATATATAGTGTGCACAGGATATATAGTGATGCTTTGGGGGGGGGTAACTGAAACGGATTAACTAATCTTCCATTTTCAATGTGAAAAATGCTTTGTAGACGTGTCATTTGCAATACGAGCTTGGTCTGAGAAAACTTGTACTGCAAGGTCACTGTATAAGCAAACTGAATGAATGTAAATGCTTACACTATATGGGGGATGCTCAGAACTATTTTAGGCTGTTAAGGCATTTCGTATCAGGGGTCAACATAAAGGTTAATTTTCTGATAAAAAATAAACAAGATTTTAGCTTTAACATACAACACACTTGGTTCTGTAAATAAACAGTTAAGCTTATCAAAGAGATCATTAAAAAAATATATTTACCTACAATATTCCAGAGAGATATCAAAGAAAACTTCGTAAAAATTAAAAACAGATTTAATGTGTAGAATATAATGAAAATGGTAAATATAACTATAAAGAGTAAAGACTAAAGAGTAGTTTACATTTTTAATTACAAAAGAATAATTCCAATCTACAAAGGGGCACAACTCGTATTGTCCTCTTCAGAAAGTTTGGTAATCATTTGATGTGGGAGTGACTTCAGCTATCGGTTTGGTTACATGCTTCAACTTTGCAATTTTAATTTTCACTGAAAATTCTGAGGAAACTACTTTTCAGACAATACATTTACTGTTGTGTTTAGAATTTGGAGGAAGTCAATGTACTGTGCGAAAAGTAGAAAATCAAAAATTATATGGATTACAATAATTATTCATACTCATGTTGACATTTTTAAATCAAAATTTAGAGGATTTAATTAACAGGTTCCTTTAATCATTTGTTTTTTTGTATAATAGTTCTAGAATATTTTTTGCAGGTAGTTTTGGATTAATGGAGCTTTACAATCTGAAGTGCTTTAGTTTTAAAAGTATGTACATACAAGATAATGTTTGACAGTCAAGGATGCTGAGTAATTTGACTCTCAGGAAAAGGTCAAAGTGAATGTTTTAATGAAAAGACTTTTGTTGAGATGCTACTTATCAGGGAAAAAAAAGTGATTAAAATTTTATCTGAATAAACAGAAAAGGTCAACTGTCTGAAATACTGAGCTTAACACAGCTTATATTACTATCTACCATTGTTTCAACATCTTTGGGCCGGATTCTCAAAAACAAATTGTAATAATTAAAATGTACACTGTATAGCTAATATATATATATATATATATATATATATATATATATATATATATAAATAAAGAACAGTAAGATATATAATCCAGTGTTCTTATAGATATTTTTATTTTTACAAAATAGTGCTCAATGTAAATTTACAGAGCATTAATATTATAAATTAATTGATTTAAAATGTTTTTTTTCACAAAAAACCATATTTTAAATCAATTAATTATATATATATATATATATATATATATATATATATATATATATATATATTAGTGAACAGTGAAGTCAACAGGCTGTTTCATGCTAGACACAATCGTCAGGCACCCTGATGATTGCGTCTAGCATGAAACAGCCTGTCACCTCTGAGTGTTGACTTCAATGTTCACTTTTATATTTATATATGCTCTATCTCTGATATTGAGCACTTTATCCCATAAATATAGCACTTTTTTATATATATATATATATATATATATATATATATACAATTTTTATATATATATATATATATATATATATATTTTATATATATATATATATATATATATATATATATATATATATATATATATATATATATATATATATATATATATATATATATATATATATATATATATATATATATATATATATGTATGTATGCATGCATGCATGTGCAGTACTTATTAGAAAGCGCTCAATATTAGTGATAGAGCTAACTTATTTAGTTGGACTGATATGAGTTCTTGACCCTGGGTTTCACACTATCTGCAATAGTCAGACAAACTGATTAATTTTTACACTGTGTGTAAAATTTGAGATATAACTAAAATATATATCTGTAAAAGAACAATATGAATAAATATATATATTTTAAATGGTGTGATTTACATCTACCAGCTTTTGCATGCAAGAGGTTCAGCAAAAAAAAATATACTGTCAAGATTTTAAACTTGAATTCTGCATTGTCAGAGAAACCACTGTTTGATCTGGTATGCTTTTGCTCTCTTTAGCTAGGCAGTCTAAAGCACACCACATCAGACGTTAGTATCTACAGTGTAACCCGGATATAAGAGAGTTGTCGGGACCGGAGAAGAAGTCTCTTATATCCGGGTTTGGTCTATTTTGTTTAGGTAAGTATGGGAACACTTCATATAACGCTTTTTACGTACAAAACACTAGTTTATTTAACAGTTATAGACAAAAAAACACAGACAAAATACATTTTCAATCAGTTTTCAAAATAATTCAATCAAAATTTCTTTTTTCTTAAAAAGTCAGTCATTTTGATTGTACAGAAATCTCTTTGTTAACATCATGAACACTTTTCATACAGTCCGTAAATCATTTTCAATGCGCCATCAGGATTACTGCTTTTTGCTTCAAAGTAGGCTGTCAGAGTTTCAAGCGCATTCAATGCAGCCAGAGAATTTGGCAATGGTTTGTCACTTTCAGAAACTTCAGAACTTACGCTTTCAGCATCATCATCTTCGTCAAAATCTTGATCATCCAATTTTATACCACATGTGATGTCCGTGTCAGTCAGTTCTCTATAACATTGTGTACAGTCATCGAAGCTGATAAATTCGTCAAAATCTGTTTGCTCCATGCCCGATGGTGGAGAAACTTGATCATTTTCGAGTATTTCTTCCACTTCAGGCTGTGATTCAATGACAAAGCCAGCCTTTTTAAAACAATTTTGAATTGTTGACGGTTTGACCATGAAAAGTGCTCGCTTCATCATGTGCATGGCCTTCAAAACAGTTATCTGCTTGGCCACCTCGGACAGCGGCACTGGTGGTGTAGCATCGATCGCTGTGATTTGCATTTGAACAAATTCCCAACGATAATACGCTTTGAATGAACGAATGATGTCTTGATCCAAAGGTTGAATGAGACTGATGGTGTTTGGTGGCATGAACGACAATTTGATGTTTGACAGATTTGTAAGTTATGACAAGTTGCATTGTCCAAAAACAGAATAATCTTTCGATTTTGAGCAATCATTTTTCGATCAAGCGTTTTCATAACGTTAGTAAACAGCTGACTAGTCATCCAGGCTTTACGATTAGTGAAGTAAGAAAACAGCAGAGTTTTGACATTTTTAAAGCAGCATGGTTTTGCCGACTTACCAACAACTATAGCTTGCTTTTCACTGCCGTCCATGTTTGTGAACTGAAGCATCATGAGTCTGTCTTTGGAAACTTTTGTCCCATTTGACTGTTCGTCGCCGGCAAATCGCAAAGATCCAGACAGCATGGCTTTGTAGAAAATTCCCATTTCATCACAGTTCCAAACATCTTTTGGATCATATCCACAAAAAAGTTGCGGCAAAACATTTGTCACCCATTCGTTGGCAGAACCATGATCTGCTGACGTTGATTCGCCATGAAATTTTTTGAACGAAACGTTATTGGCCTGCTTCCAGCGCATGAGCCAGCAATTACTCGGTTCAAAATCAACTTCAAGATTTATGGCCAGTTGTGATGCTTTCTGCCTGATGATGTGATCGGTGACGGCTTCGATGAGCACATGCTTGTAAACCATTTGTAAGCGCTCGTTAACGTCCTTGTGCACGGATTGGCGCTTTCGTTTTGCGATTAGTGTTTCTGTTCATTTGCATGCAAGATCTGAGATCGTCTTCTTTCTTGAGAATTTTTGCTGCTGTTGAATAACTGATTCCGTACTTTTTGGCTGCAGCAGCCAGTTTGAGTTTCTTCACTTTGACATCGTCGATGAGCTCCAACTGTTCAGAAATGCTCAGAGTTTTTTGTTGAGATGCTGATGCCGACATCACTAATCGCAATGATCGCAAGCAAACGGTTTTCAGTGGCAAAATTAACAAACAGACAAACTTCTGACCCAACAGAACAGTGGGTAAAGTGAAAATGCTGTCCAGTAAATGCAACGACAAGCAAAGTCGGCAAAAAAGCGGGCGGCGCTACCCTTAGACACACAAAGCAAAATCAATAAAGTAGAGGGTGTCTCCTACAGAAACAGATTGGACACACCGTGTCTCTAGACTAGTCAAGATTAAGTCATTGAACTTCACTCTCTAATTGACCTCTGTTTGACCGATTTACGACATCACACTGTCACTCAAAACGAACTCTCTTATATCGGGGAGGACGGGACCAGAGAAAATCTCTCTTATATCCGGGACTAATTTATATACATTAATACAGGCTCTAATTTGGGACCAGAGAAAATCTCTTTTATATCCGGATTTCTCTTATATCCGGGTTACACTGTACTAAAAATAATATTTGGAGTAATAAGAAATAAAGAATTTGGAGAACTACTTTGACATGTTTCCCCTGATAAACTAACAGCATCAGGAAAATTGATTTTCTCTCACAAGAACAAAACCTACATTAGCAAGAACACATGAGTCAGCATTAAGCTGCTGAATGTTTGCTTTTTACTTTTATATTTTTAATCATTTCACCCCAAGCAAGGCAATAAAGCCACTAAGATGCAAGGGTTTACTGAGATACAAGACAAAAACATCAAGAAGAAAGGACAAGAAAAAAAAAGTGTTCAAGCAGACAGAAGATGATTGATATTGCATTTAAATTTTTGAAGATCAAAGTTGACTGGAAAGATAAATGCTAGAAAAGAGTTCCACAAGCGACAAGTGC